AAGTGGGTAGCTTTTCCCACAGTTTTCGTTAGAGCAGTAATAATCAGTATATATTTACTTTAGTTTTTTTTTTGCAGGCACACAGGATTCCGCTGGTGCAGCATATGCCAGGTGTTGGCAATAATCTGCAAGATCATCTCGAGGTCTACGTTCAGCAGGTTCCTTTTATTTTCCGGGGGAAAAAAAAAACATTGCATTTTTCTGAACCAGCAAAAATGAGCTGAAATTATAAAGTTCTCTTTTGCTGCAGAAATGTACGAAACCGATTACGCTGTACAATCATAGCTCATGGCGTTTTCCGCATAACATGATCAGGATTGGCCTGCAGTGGTATATTTCGAAAACTGGCTTAGGCGCCAGCAGTCATTTAGAATCCGGTGGTTTCGTAAGAAGTACACCCAAGGTCCTTTTTTTTCTACTGTTTTTGATTTTCTCGGCTGTATTTCATCAGTAAAAATTGTAACATTTTAGGTTCCTCATCCGGATATCCAGTTCCATTTTCTTCCTTCCACAGTACACGATGACGGACGCAGTTGTGGAACTTGCCATGCTTATCAGGTAAGCTATTCATTCCTCTTACTTTTTTACTTAAATTTTGTTTTCCATTCCCCTCAGCACCACTTATCGCTTATTGCAGGTACACGTTGGTCCAATGCGTTCCAAGTCTTCCGGTACTATAACACTTGCCAGTAATGATCCAAGGCGGCACCCACTTATCAATCCGAATTATTTGGATTATGAGGAGGACTATATTGAGTTCCGGCATGCCATACGAATTGCAAGGTTGCTTTTACTGGAAATGTTTCTTCCAAAAATTTTCCTTTTATGTGTTTCCAAAATCCTCCTATTTTTCGTATTATGTCTTTGATTCTGTTTTCCTGACTCAACATCTTGACTGCTTCACTAGCATTTTAGAGCGCTTCTGAGTCAGAAAAGTTTCGACGAATATCGCGATGATGAGTTACAGCCGGGAGCAAACTGTCAAAGCGATAAGCAGGTGAGAGCGTTTCACCATTACGTATATGTCTGAATGCAGTGCCGTGAGTTTGCCTGTTTTGTACTTTTTAGGAACATTACCAGCATTTGCCATTTTTAAAGCTAATAGCAAAATTTTACAGATTGATGAATTTGTTCGAAAAGAAGCAGCATCTGCCTACCATCCGTCATGTACTTGCAAAATGGGAAATGAATCCGATCGGTTCGCCGTAGTAAATCCAGAAACGATGGGCGTCTATGGGATTGACAACCTTTACGTAAGTCTGTCGTCTTATTTTTATTTGGCACTTTCTCAGCAAAACATATTTAGTGCGCTTATAAGTGCCTTTTTCGTAGAGAGAATAAAATGCAGTGGTACAAAGCAGAACGGGAGGCAGTGAGCAGCGGGGAGGGAAAAGTGATGAGAATGTTCTGAACTAAATCAGGTATATTAGATATTGTCTTTTTGTTTATTTTTTGTAATATTTGTAACGTCTTTTCCTCCTCCCCGTCCCCCCTCTCCTCCGGCTCTACGGAAATACCTACCATTAAGTGTGTGGACTTTCAAAATAAAGTAAATTTAAAAAATAAAACGGGGAGAAACGATTCCAAACTGACAAAAGTCGAAATGGTGATGTGTTGGATTGCGGCGGTGGGCGAGATGCTGTTTCCGGCTGATTTTCTTATCCGATATTGTCGTTCTTGGGTTTTATTTTTTTTTTTTTGTGAAGTTTGTTTCGAATTTTCTAACATCCGCAGGAGACTGATGATGCATGTATATAACCGTATAAAGAGAAAAAAAAAAACTGCTTTTTCTTGTAAGCCATGAAGAATAGAATTGTTGAATTACTTTTCGAAGTAACGAATGTCGATTGTTTCTCAGACGACAACATCTTAAAATTAGTAGGGAGACCCAGGAGTACAGCTAGTCTTCTGTTGGCGTTTGCACATGTTTAGCGTTGAATTACGCTTGTGAAGTGTACTGGGTGATTTGTAGGTGGCCGATGCATCAGCAATGCCATCAATTGTGAGCGGGAATTTGAATGCGCCTGTTATAATGCTGGCTGAGAGAGCTGCGGATTTGATACAGAAGAAAACACCGTTGGCTGCTGAAATTGTACCAGTCTGGTCGCCGTATGAGGAAAATACACAGAAACGAATTTCCACTGGTGCTAGGCTGTGATCGTATATGTTCATTTAATACTGATTCCATATACTGAAATTGATACACTGATTTTGTCTTTTATTTACATTTCTTGGTTAGCGGTTCGTGACTGGTTTTTATTATGTGA